AATATTACTATATAATATATTGATATGTGAAGATACACTTAAATAACAAAATGTTGTTTAAGTAGTATCGATTATGTTTCACAGGTATGAGTATTAGAAATTAAAGTGTTTTTTTATTAAATAGTTTTTAAACTTTAATATCCTTAAGGCTTAGTTTTCCTAAGTCATCAAAAGCCCAATTAAGACAAACATGAGCACAGCAATCAGTCACTTAAAGGTAAAGGAAAACCCCTTACAGTATGATGTTTTCTTTTTTATTAAGAGCACTACAATACTTCAAGGAAATTTTGTTATTCTAATACGGGGGACAATAACTTTTACTCAATATTTAGAAAACTTAAAAGGCATTCTCTTCAGCAGCAGCCCTGTAGTATGGTGACTAACCACCATACTTAGGGAGCCAGACCCCACATGGCCAACTGTAGATCAAATCCTGACCCCAGCAGCATGAAAAACATGTCGGGTTCATGTGCATGCATGCTCAAAATCCTGACGAATGGAAGAAAAAGAATTGTGGCATGACCACACCTCACTGGAGGTGCTTTCTTGCTCTCTCTCTCTCATTTCTCTCTCTCTGGTAAGCATAAGCAAATCTAGAAATTTAATAATAAAAATACTAATTGTCTTCAAATTTAGCTGAATTTATCATGTATAAAATTTCTCTCATAAAATTAGCTTCATAAATCTTACTAACTTCCTTCAAACCCCTTCTGACTTAAATCTTCTAAAACATATTTTAGTCAGGGTTTGGTAATGGCCCCTCCTTTCCTTTTTTCCATTCTGGAGTATTCCAGTCGTACTTCAGAACAAAAATTTTACCACACAAAATTCTTTTTTTGTTTTTCTGGAGAGGTTTTTGCTATAGGGCGTGTGTGCTTGCCAGAGAAACAGAGAGAGGCTGCGAGACAGAAAATGAGAAATTACTCCCTAGGGGGGATGGCCATGCCACAATCCCTTCTCCTCCATTCTCCTCTCAGGATCTTGTACACACACGCACACACGCCCAGCATGAGCTTAAGCCACTGGGTCCAGGACTCAAACTACACTGAAAATGGGAATCCAGCAACGTAGCCATTATGCCAACTGCTTATCCCACATAAAATTCTGTTCTACAGAAAATAATATTCTCTTTCCTTCTAATGTTCCTTATCAAAAATACATTCTCACATCTGTAACTTTCTTTCCAATTCCCTTTTCTATTTACTCTTTGCTTTCTACTTTGCTTCTCTTTCCTTTATAATTTACTTTTGAAAACAACCATTAAAATCTCAGAATCAGACATTATTTTTCTCAGTAAAAGAATATTCATTTTATATGACTTTTCTCATCAAAAATGCATCTTTTTCTGTATATTTTGCATGAAAAATTATATAATGACTTGAATGTTTAACTCTTATTAACTATTCTCAGGGATCAAGCACTTTTTGAATTGCTTCTATATACTAATAGCTTAAAAATATGTATGTTATAATTTTGGAAAACATATGTTTTCTTATGGAATAAGTTTTCACTGTGGACTAGAACAGTTTTATTAAGAGATTCAGTATTTTTAGCTACCAGGGTCAATAACAAGAATGGCATCATTTCAAGGCTGGACAGTCTCTGGACAAATGTTTTGACAGAAAAAGGTCCTATGTCAGGTCACAGTGGTCTTTGTGCAAGTTATAGTTCTGGAAGAGTTCTCTAAATAATGGTTCTTATTATCAGTCGGACTGGATACAATGAGAAAACACCTCCTCCATGGCCTTCCCACTCAGGTTAAGGCTGACACACATGATTCCATTTTGATTCTTAAAAACTTTCACAATGAAGATAAGGAAATCCACCTAAGGAGCCTGAGGAATCATCATGAACATGATGGGGACATAAGAAATGGGATTGAAAAAATATTTTCATAGGAGAAAGAATGGTTAATGTATCAAAATGTTGCTATTACATTGGATAAAGAATAAATTGTGACTATTAATTCATGTGCAAAAAGATTTCTCACAGCAAAAGAAACAATAATTAGAGCAAGGAGACAATCCTCAGAGGGGGAGAATATATTTGCAAATTATGCCTCAGATAAGGGACTGATAACCTGAATATACAGGGAACTCAAGCACCTTACCTGAAAACAAATAATCAATCCATTTAAAAGATGGGCATGTGAGCTGAAGAGACATCTCTCTAAAGAAGATATGCAAACAGTCAAAAAGCATATGAAAACATGCCCAATATCTCTTATCATAAGGGATATGAAAATCAAAACCATAATGAGATACCACTTAACCCCACTCAGAATAGCTAAAATTAGAAATATAAAGAATGTGAACTGCTGACGAGGCTGTGTTGTAAAGGGAACCCTCTTACATTGTTGGTGGGAGTGTAAATTAGTACAGCTATTGTGGAGAATGATATGGGTATTCCTAAGAAACCTAAAAACAGAACTCCCATACAGCCTAGTAATTCTATTCTTGGGTATATATCTGCAGGATTGGAAAACCTTCAGTCAGAAAAACACTTGTACATCCATGTCTATTGCAGCATTATTTACAATTGCTAGGATATGAAATCAACTCAAATATCCAAGACTAGTGGTTTGAAAAACTATGGCACATGTACTCTATGAAATACTACTCAGCGAGAAAAATAATGAGACTCTGACATTTGAATAAAGTTAACAAATATGAAAGATTTAATGCTAAGTGAAGTAAGCCAAACTATGAATGACAGAGATTGTATATCCCCATTCAACATATATCAAAGATCTGTGCTCTATGGCAAAAAATTGAAAGATTGGAAGGTATAATAGCAGGGGCAGCAACAGTAGATACAAGAAATAATAGGGGAGCAGAAAATGGGGGGTGGACAATAGGGGTAGGAGGGAGATAATCAGGAGAAAAAACAACGCATTTAATAGAGACCAAAATGAAAAATTATCTGCTGATGATCATATATATGGTAATATCTTTGACTTGACTAATATGCATTGTATTCATGCTGAGAAAAACCATGTTATACCCTGTAAAAATGTGATTTAGGACAAATTTTTTTCATTAATTAATTAAATAAATTTAAAATCTATATTAAATAGTGATGATTTGTATTTATAAACTTTCCTATGTTATAAATTTTAAATTAAGCCATGCCTCTGTGAAAATCTGTGACCTGATATTTTAATAAAACATTTTAATATATTTTTTAAATTTACTAGGGAGAAGATCACTATTCAGTTTATATAAATAAGTAATTTTAAAGTGCCAGGCAAGAAAAATATTGATACTTCATAAAATACCATCCCAGCATGTGTGCACGCATGCCCCAAATCATGAGACTGGAGGAGAAGGGATTGCGGTGTGACCAACTCCTCTGGGGTGATTTCTTGCTTTATGTCTCTCTGTCTCTTTGGCAAGTGCATGTTTTCTGTATCAAAACTCCCTCAAATAAAAATAGATTGTGGTAAAATATACATAACAAAATTTATAATTTAAAAAAATAAATAAATAAAAAAGAAATAAAAAAATAAAATACCATCAAAACTGTCATTCCGGGACCAGCAGTTAGCGTAATGGCTATGGCGCTGGATTGCCATGTAGTCGATCGCGGTTTGCGTCCCAGACCCAGTGACTTAAAACTCACGCCGGGCGCGTGTGCATGCGTGCCCACGATCCCGAGGGGAGAATGGAGGAGAAGGGATTGCGGCGTGGCCATCCCCCCCGGGGGGGTGATTTCTCGCTTTCTGTCTCTCTTCTCTGTCTGTCTGGCAAGCACACGTACCCTATAGCAAAAACCTCTCCAAAAAAATTAATTAATTAATTAATTAAATTAAAAAAAAAACTTTCATTCCAACCTACCTTGCTTACATAGCTCCAAAAATTCATATAGCTAGTATACGCAAAAATCAAAAACAAACAAAGCTTTCTGTTCACCTTTTATATTTCATATTCAAGTTGATTTAAACACAAAGGTAATCTCTGCAAGAAAAAGTCTATTATGAGCCTGTGATGTGCAGTTTCAGTAAAATGGCATGAGTAAAGCCTTTGTGAAAGGAAACACTGAAAAATGAGGACAGAGATTCAAATCTACAGGAATGCAAACTATTCAAGGTGTTCCCACCAAGATAAAGAAGAAAAATGAAGGTGTAGCCATACATGAACAAAAATCAAAAGGTACTTTTGAATCTTTTGAACTTCGTTTTGTAATGCTTTTTTTTTTTTTTTTTTTTTTTTTGTGGGGGGGGGGGGTTTTTTTTTTTTTTTAGAGAGAGAGAGAGAGGGAGATTTTTGCTATAGGGTGCATGCACTCACTGGAGACACAGAGAGAGACAAGGAGACAGAAGGTGAGAAATCACTCCCTCCTCCCCAGGTGGGATGGCCACGCCACAGTCCCTTCTTCTTCATTTTCCTCTCAGGATCTTAGGAATGCACACAAACAAGCCTGGTGTGAGTTTTGAGTCGCCAGATCTGGGAATCAAACTGCAGTCAACTACATGAGAGTCCAGAAACATAACCATTATACCATCTGCTGGTTCCAGTTATGTGATGCTTTCTCCTGGATGAAAAGCAATGGAAACAGGATGGGAATGAGCTGTAAAGAACAAAGACTTGAAGATACAAAGGACAATTGCAGGAGAAAGTTCTAAGCTTGATGGAACTAAATCTGTTCACAGGATAACATACTAGAAAACGATATTTCAGCAATTACTGGAGAAGACCACTGTCTGCCATAGAGTCATCTTATCCAATTGTGCAGGGTAATGGAGATAAGAGAAGTTTAGAGAGAAGGCTTGATCTACTTCTCAATTCCATGGGTAAAAAAGGGAACTCAACCCAAAAAGACAGTGGTAATTAATTACAGAGTACATGCACCAAAACATCAGTGATGCAATTCTTCCAGAAACATTAACACTGGGGGCCATTCGACTAGTGTCTCACCAGCTTGCTTACGCCGAAGCTGAAGGTCATCTCATACCTGAAGAAATTTCAAGCGAAAAAGATTGTTAACTTTCAACATCGAAGTCACTTCTGCTTTGTAAACAGCGCATGAAACACTTGATCCCGAATCTGTTTGGTCTTGACTCCATAGATGATGGGATTCAGCATAGGGGGAGCCAGTGTGCAGACATTGGCTAGGAGAATATGAATATGTGGTGCAATATGGCGTCCAAACCGCTGCGTGAGGGTGGTAAAGATGCCAGGCCCATAAAAGAGGATAATGACACAGACATGGGAGCCACAAGTATTGAGAGCTTTGTAGCGAGCATCTTGGGATGGGATACGGAAGACAGCGTGGAGAATCAGCACATATGAAACAAAAATCAGCACAATGTCTAAGACAACTGTTGACATTAGGACAAAAAAACCATACCACATATTTATTCGAATGTCATCACAGGAAATTCTAGCCAAGAAAATGTGCGTACAACCAGTGTTTGAAAGGATGTTGCCTTTGCAGAATGTCAGTCTTTTGGCTAAAAATATTACAGGAAAAACTGTACCATAACTTCTTAGAAACACAGTCACACCAATTTTCCCAATCAGACCATTTGTCATAACAGAAGTGTATCTCAGTGGATAGCAAATGGCGATGTAACGATCAAACGCCATCACCAGCAGGATCCCTGATTCAGAGACGAAGGTGGAATGGAGGCAGAAGAGCTGAGTGATGCAGCGATCCAGGGAGATCTGCCCAGCATGGAACCAGAAGATGGCCAGGGCCTGAGGTACTGTGGTGGTGGAGAGGACAATGTCCACTCCAGCCAGCATGCAGAGGAACAGGTACATGGGCTCATGGAGGCTGCGCTTTGTGAGGATGATGAAGATGAGCAGGCTGTTCCCAAGCAGAGCAATGATGTAGGAAATGAGGTAAGGGATGGAAATCCACACCTGCTGGTCCTCTAGGCCAGGGATGCCCAGCAGGTGGAAGACAGTGTGACTTACCCCAGTGTGGTTTAAGATAGGCATACCTGGAACAGACAACCCAGGAACACACCTCCAATTCACAGAGAAGAAAATTCAAATTACAATGATTGTTATTCACGTTACCATGGTTTTTACACCTATCTGATTCTATTCCAATCTGAGTGTCCCAGAAACGATGATATATAAAGGAAAATAAGATATGGCATGTGTTCTGAATGGGATCATAATCTCGTCATAATCTCATAAATCAGCCATTTATACTATTTCAAATAAACTAATTAAGATAATATAACAAAATGAGTAATGATATATGGAAACTTTAATAGGAAAACACTGTAAGAGAAGTCATTTTCACAGTTCATACTTGTAATGAATTTAAAAATGAGCACACACCTGAATGGATCAGGCAGGAGGAAAAACGGCATTGTTATTCACGGGGCTGTAAAATGAGGATCCAGATGCTCCCATGGAAAGAGAATAAGGAGTCAAGCTGTAAGGACGTCAAGACCAGATATCCTTACCCCTTCTCCAGAAAACAGTTTAACCTGTATCTATTTGCAGGATCTGAGCTTGGTGCAGAAAGCAGGTACTGAGAAGTTCCAAGATTCAAGGGATGAACAAACACAGAGTGAGACATTGACTGCATCTTCGTATTTATTCAGTGCCTGGCTCATTGCCTAGCACACAAGTACACATAATTGTTCCATCCCTCATCCTCCAAGTTTTATTCCCCTCACCTTTAAATTTAATTTCCGGAGTAGGAAAACTTAACTTCTCTTTTTATTGCAATAAAAACCCTCAAAAAATGGCTGAAACGGTACTGAAAATAAAATCATATGAAAAGAGCCCAATAGAGACCTTGGTGCCTGCTGTGGACACTCATCACCCGATCAATCTGCGACCACATAGCCACCATGAGAACATATGTCCCCAGGCCCAGCCACATGGTGCAACAGTAGCGTATGTCTCCACCAGGTCAGAAGTGGATGGAATATCAGGGTTCAGTCCCTGGGTCACCTGTCCACACCAGGCTCAGGGATGGGCTGCAATCCTGGCTGGCTGGGAAGCTGAGAGTATAATCATGGCATAAGACACTGTTGCAGATGTCTGTCTCTTTCTCTCTCACTTCCTCTCTCTCTCTCTCCCAAAATAAACTTTAAAAAGTTAAAGAATATATAGTCCTTTGAGAAACACCAGTCTCCTAAAGGAGATGAAAGAAATTAAACTCAGAATGAAAATGCTACTGAGAGCTCATGGGCAAGGCTGCATACCATTATGCTGACAAAGTATTAGGAGATGAAGACAAAGCAAATAAAACTTAAGTACAAGGGGCCAGCAGTTGGTATAATGGCTATGTCACTGGACTCCCATGTAGTCAACCACAGTTTAAGTCCCTGACTCAGTGGCTTAGACTCGCGCCGGGCATGTGTGCGTGTATGCCCAAGATCCGGAGAGGACAATAGAGGATAAGAGATTGCAGAATGGCCACGTTCCCGGTGGGGAGGGAGGGTGATTTCTCGCTTTCTGTCTCTCTCTTTCTCTGTCTTTCTGGCAAGCACAAACGCCCTGTAACAAAAACCACTCAATAAATTTTTTTTTTTTTTTAAACTTAAGTACCATAAAAGACAAGCTAGTGATAACCAGCTTACAGATGTTGGTGGACACTGAACACTGAGAGTGTTAGCGAGGACCTTTTTTAAGTGAACAACATAGTACAGAGTGATGGGTTCACCCATTAAGGGCAGGTCTCTGGGAAAACTACATGAACTACTGACTTTTTGTGAGGTTCAAAGTCACCTCAATAGGGACCAGCAGTTGGCAAAATGGCTATGTCACTGGACTCCCATGTAGTCGACCACAGTTCAAGTCCCAGACCCAGTGGCTTAAACTCACACTAGGCATGTGTGTGTGCATGCCCAAGATCCCAAGAGGAGAATGGAGGAGAGGGGATTGTGGCATGACCATCCCCCCTGGGGGTAATTTCTCGCTTTCTGTCTCTCCATCTTTCTAGAGAGCACACTCTCTCTATAGCAAAAAACTCTCAAAAAATAAAAAACGTCACCTCAATAATCTCACGGGCCTCAAGAAGACTTTTTGCAGCCTTGACTCAGGCACCTCAGCCCCTGAAGAAGTCTCTCTGGCCCTGACTTGTGCTGCTGACCTGATGGCCCCAGCTCAGAACACTCCCACAGTTGGCTGAGGCATCAGGTACATGCCTGACTGACCTATTGCACAGCTCAGTTCTTTCTGCTTTCACAAGGAGTCAGCTCATCTGAGCATTTAACCAGCAGAGACAAGCACGTCTGACTGTATTGATGTTCCCCCAATCGATCACATCCTTTGTCAGTTCTTTTCTTTCTTTTTTTATTTTTTTTTTTGAGAGATTTTTGCTATAGGGCACGTGCACTCATCAGAAAGCCAGAGAGAAACAGAGACAGAAAGCAAGAAATCACCCTCTTCCCCAGGGGAATGACCACGCAGCATTTCCCTTCTCCTCCATTCTCCTCTCAGGATCTTGGGCACGCACACGCACCCGGCATGAGTTTAAGCCACTGGGTCCAGTACTCGAACTGCTGTCAACTACATGGGAGTCCAGTGACATAGCCATTATGCCAACTGCTGGTCCCATATCCTTTGTCAGTTCTCAGAATAGTCTTTCCTTTGTGCATTCCCACAGCCCAGCACACTGCAGCACATGTCATTCCTTAGTTTTGACAAATTCTGCATGGGAGGAATAAAAGATCAGGACAGCAAACACAGAAGAGTACTTTCAAATGCCTTAAAGGTTTGGAGTAATCAGGATACAATGCCAATGTGAAACCTCTGCAGCAGCTCAGGGTGATAAAGGGAGTCATGCCCAGAATCTCCCCACTCTGCCTTTCCAGACAGAACTTTGCATTCTGTGGAAAGTTCCATTCTATAGAGATAGTCCATATTTTGACTCTGAGTCAGTGGTATATTGGTAAAACAGCTCTTGAGAGAGAGAGAAACTGTTCACTAGTGTTGGGCAATTTCTGAGTTGGAAATACCCCTACCTTCCTCACTTTCAAACTACCAGCATGTAATCCTTGTATGGAGAGTCAGAAGAAACACACAGTCGACTCTGACAGGGTGCTATGAGCTGACTTGGATATACTACCACTGTCTTCCCTCCCATTCAACCCACTTTTCTAGACAAAACCATCTATCTCAGGAACCACAATCCCATAACTCCTACTCTTCCTCCTGACTTTCATCCCACAGATATAAAGTAACCACTCACCTCCCTCAGATGGAGACTTCATGGGCTAGGCTGCAGTGAGTCATAAGGGGACTCTGAGAAATGACAGTCAGGGAACAGAGTTTATGCATTTGCCTAGAGACTTCAGAGGGAGCTAGCGCACAGAGATCTCAGCCTTAATGCACCTGGGACCAATCATGATGCTTCCTCATCCTGCCCACTACACCACCCTCTCTTCTACAGCCCATCCCTGGATTCCATGTGCACATGCATTCTTTTTCAGTAAATACAATGTGTGCAATGTGATGGAAATCAGCCTGCTTCCTTTTTAATGTCAGTTATTAAAGAATAATCCCACAATCAATCAACTCATATAATTTAAAAATCATTTATAAATTACTTTTATAATTTTACTTATTAAAACAATCTTATACTTGAAGAAAACTTGCATGATACAAAGTTCCTATACACCTAGGTAATATTTGGTACAGTATTGTTAACTAACATCCATACTTTATTCAAATTTTCTTAGTTTTTACTTATGTTCTTTTCTATTCAAGCATCTCAATCAGGATACCATATTTATATTAGTAGTCATCTCTTTTTAGGTTACCCTTAGTCATGACAGTCTCACACTTTCCTTATTTTTTATGACCTTGACAATTTCCATCAGTATTGCTCAGGTATTTTGTGAGAATGTAAATTGGTCCAGTCATTGCTGTGGAAAACAATTTATAGAGGTTCCTCAAAGACCTACAAATAGAACTTACCATATGATCCAGTAATTCCCCTCCTGAGTATCTACCCAAAAAATAGGAGAATGCTCAGTTGGAAAAGCACTTGCACATCAATGGTTTTTATTTTATTTCATTTTCTTTTTATACATTCAATCACATCATTTAGCTTACAAAGTGAATATTTCAACAGGTGAATATTTCTCCCTAGTCCAGTTGATAAAACTATAAAATTATCTTCAACAAATAATACCACATTTCCCACATCAATGCTTATTACAGCATTATTCACAATTGCTAAGACATGGAACCAACCCAAATGTCCACAAACAGATGAGTGGATTGGAAAAGTATGGCACATATATTCTATGGAATACTATTTAGCCATAAAAAAATAATAAAAATTTAAAACAAGATCCTGGCATTTGATAGAAAGTTGTCAAATATGGAACATTTATTGCTGAGTGAAGCAAGCCAGAATATGAAAGACAGACATTGTATATCTTCACTTATATATACTGACTGTCCACAGTCTATGGTAGAGATTGAAAGATTGAAGGACATAAAAGCAGTGAAAATAGTTATGGACACTGGCAATAGTGTGAAGAACAGGGTAAGTGTATAGGAAAGGAAATCAGGGGGGAAAAATAGAGAAGCAAGACGTTTTTGGAACATAGTTATGGTTTTTAACCTGTTGATGATAACATGTATAGTATTCTCAATTGGTCTGGTCTGGGATATATTTCATGTTGGATAACTCCTCTTTAAAAGGCAAATGAAGTAAGGCAATTTAATGCTTAATAAAGAATAGTAATAATAATAATAAAATAGAATTTTAAAAAATCATTTAGACATAAATTTGGACAATAATTCCAGTGAGGAAATCCAATTCCTGAAACTTAACAAATGAAAAAAATTAAAAACCTATCGGGGGAAAAAAATGTCCCTCAATTTGAATTTGTTTGATGTTCTTTCCATTGTTACATTCAAGATAAAGAATTTTTGAAGAAAGACCACAAAGATAAATTTCCATTTTTATCACAACATAGCAAGGGCACATATATCAACATGACTTACCAGTGTTAATG